CGCGCGCGCGCGCGTGCGCCCGCGCGCAAAAACAGTCGCATTCGTGGAGGCTCTTTGCAGCAAGCTGAAGCAGTGAGACGAGCGGCAGCGGGGCGTGTCGCTTTTTGCCGACAGAGCCGCAGATTTTCGGCACGGTGTGCCATTGTACATACGACTGCGGATGCAGATGTAACAGATGCCTGAACTGACTGATGGATGTGTTGTTACATGATTATATGCGTGGTCGGTCCTAATCACCGCTGCATCTGGAAATGCATCTGACGGAATGGTCAAGCCATCCAGTGTGCTTCGTCTGCTTCCTGTACGAAAAGGCAATTCGAAGGCAAGTGGGTCTTTTGATAAGCTGAGCCAGGCGCACGTCAGCCACTGAGCCGTTGCAAGAGTCCAAAGCGGCTCTGCGATTCTTGGAGTGCTCTGGACTGCAAGGTCGGTGCCGAGAAGAAGGCCCGAAGGGATCCGAAGGCCCTCGCGTAGAAAGCGCTGCAGAGCGCGCGCCCAGGAAAGCAAGAGGCCGGCGGAGGAGGGAAACGGAAAGCAGGCGAAGGATCAGACAGAGGCGGAAGCGGCAGAGGTGCAAGGTCTGGCGGCGGAAGCGGCAGAAGAGGAAGCGACGGAGGAGGCAGACGAAGTGGAGATTGTTGACATCGAGGTGCGTAGTCCAGGAGTTCTTCCGTGCTTGGCCTTTGTCGAACCTCTGCCTCCCTGCCAGGGCAAGAGCGACGAGATTGAGATAATCGACGTCGAGGCAGCATGAAAGTGCAGTTGTTTTTGCGCGCTGAAGTCATAAATCCAACCTGAGGACCCGCCTCCCGAGACGCCGGAGCCAAACGAAAGGTGAGAACGACGGAGCTACCTGGCAGCTACGGAATCTTCATTGCCCTGCCAGGGCGGCGAAGCCCGCCATGGAGGAGACTCCAGTGGAGGCATCAACAGGACTGTTTTCTCGGGGTTAAGATCTTAATCTTAGTTGGTTCCTGAAACTGCATTTTCACTACAACGATGCGGAGCGAGTGTTAATCGAAGCTAACCCATCCGGCGAGTGTGGCCACGCAGCAATCATGGATCTGTAGTCGAGCCTCTTTTGCCAGGCTTCTTCCAAAGAATGTCCGACACCGGTCCATCGCCTTAAAGCAACAGGATGTGTCTAGGTCTTCGAGTAAAGATCAAGAAGAGCTCTGGAGAGCGTTTTGTGTTTGGAAGCCCCCAGTTGCAGTGTTTGTCTTCGTGGTGCAGTGCTGAAATCAGTCTTGATCGGTTCGGCTCCGAGGATACCAGCAGTAAGCCGGCTGTGATCGAAGCCCCGCGAGTGGCACAGTTCTCCCGTGAAGATGTGGCAAAAGCTGCAGAGGCCCAGTGTTTGTGTGCTTCTAGAGGGCACTGGACATCTTGCGCCCCTTCCCTCCGGAGGCCGTGACGCGAAAGGAGCCGAGGGAAGAAAGTTCCAGGTTTCTAGAGGAGCGCTCGCTAGCCGCTAGCCCCAAGCCGGCTCGTTGGGCTCCTTGCCAGTCTCGCCCCCCTTCACCGCTGACGAATTCTGCATCATTGCTCAGCATTGCATGTCGCCGCTGCATGTGGTCGTGTGCACATCCATGTTTGGAGGGGACCCTATGTTTCTTGGTGTTTTTGTTTTGCACTTTTCTTTTGGGTGGGTGAATGTGCGGGGCAGGGGTGGTTTGTGGGACAGGGGTGGGAGTTCAGGAAGTGGGGGAGGTTGGAGGTTCCCTTATTTAGAAGGCATCCCCGTAACGATAAGGAAAGCGGGAATGTATTGTGCATTCAAAACTCAATTCATCAAGTAGTTTCTTATGACTGTTACGATTCTGACATACTGTGATTGTTCTTACTATTACTAAGTTATTCATATTGTTGTTCGTATTCTTATCATGAATTATTGTAATTAGTACTGTTATTAGCTTATTAGTATATTAATCATGCCATAATACGTAGCATTATTGGTCGTTGCTTTGCGATTGTTATTCTTATTACTATTAAGTGGGTGACGAAAGTTAGTAGCATTCCAAACGCTATTATCAGTGTTGTCATATGACTTATGATTATTTCCATTATGCGCATCATTATCGCCATTATCATCAGTCTTAGTACTAATCAGCAGTATTTGTATTGCTTGTATGATTATGCTTATGGCTATGGCTAGGCCTGCTATTCTCGTAATTTCTAAAACAATTCAATTTAGTTCCATAGGCTACAATATAAAGTATATACATAGCACGGCTGAGTGTGATGTAGCATTGCGTAATTTGATGTAGTATCTCCTTACGATGGACTTGGTGACACAATGCAGCTTACATGCCATAACATCATTTAGTACGATATGTTATAACCCAATGCAGCGAAACGTTTCCTAAAGATACATCTACGTGTTCTGTCTTACAGTCGCATAATCTACATAGCTTAGTCCGAACCGAAGCTGGATTTAGCATAAGCAAAATGTACCGCCTTCCAGCTCCCATCATCGCTCCTGGTGGAGATAAGAGTGCTCTTCTCACGTTTTGCAGCACTGGCCTTACTGCCTGATCCGTATTGTGGCTTGGCTCGGCTTGGCTTCAGCAGGGGTGG